GGTTCAAACCGGGAGGGCGGTAAAACGGAGCGGTGAGTGATTGCGGCTGGTCCGGCTTCTCTGCCCGCCGGAGGGGGTGGGGTGCCCCCTGCGAGAGCGCCCCCGCCCCACCTTAGGGTTGTCATATTCCAAAAAGAGGACACTGTTGGGGGGGTATGATTGTGGGGGGCAGTGATAAGTCTCTGCCCTTGCCCATCACTCCTAAGTCACAGCCCCCAGCCCTGCTGCTGCCCCGCGCTCCAGACCCACAGTTCCCCTCCCCCGAGACCATGCTGATGCCCCTCATTCCCGGCCCGCAGCTCCCCGGCCCTGCTTGTGCCCTGCATTCCTGGCTCGCAGCCCCCTGCCCCCCTTGTGCTCCTCGCTCAAAAGCCACAGCCTCCCCAGCCCTGCTGCCCACCCAGCTCCCTGCTGCCCCTGAAGAACCCTCTTCCACCCCCCTTTCCCTGCCTCCCCACCCTGCTGCATCCCTGGTGTACACACACACTCCTGGGGTTTCTTAGGATGACATCTCTTGCGTAGCTGGGATAGAATTAGCCCAATTTTTGAATTCAAGACATTCTTCACCAGGTCTGACCAGTACAAGCCTGACGCAGATAGTGAAGAATGATGGCCCTGCCTGGCCCAGGCACGGGGAGCAGCCCAGGTCATGATGCGTGTAGCAGGGCTGGGTGGCACGGCAGCTGGACTCTGTTTCCCGGCAGCCCCAGCGGTGGCTCCTTCCAGCTGCTGGCCCGCGCCCTGCTGCGCAGGCACCTCAGCTCATCCACCCTGCACCCACTGCAAGGGACAGGAACCATGTGGACAGGGTGTGTGGCCAGGCAGATGGGATAAGGCCATGGGCAGGCGGGGAGCTGTGTCCGGGAGCAGGGCGGGCAGGCAGGGTCAGGCATCGGGATCATGGGGTGGTGACAGCCTGGGGTTGGGGTAGCACTATGATCTAGCCTGCACGTCCCTGTGATGGATGCTGCTTTTGTGGGCAGGCGTGTGCAGGAAGCAGATTGTGCACTGTCACTGCCCCACAGTCCCAATCTGCCCCACAGTCCCAAGCCCCGCCTGCCTACCTGCCCTGCTCCCAGATGCAGCTCCCTGCCCATCCATGGCCCCATCCTTTCTGCCCAGCTGTGCACTCTGTCCATGCAGGTACTGGCTGGTTTTCATGGAGATCCTGGGATTGCTAAATGCTGCCAGCATGGGGCTGGGGCTTGGGGCAGAGCTATGATCTGCTCCTTGCATGCCCCTTCCTGCAGAATCAACGCCAGTTGTGGAAACATGCAGGGAGCAGATCATGGCTCTGCCCTGGGCCCCGGCCTCATGGCCTCACCCACGTGTCCTGTTCTGGGTTGCTGCTCCCCACCCAGTCGTGGCTCCACTCCAGCCGCCTGGCTGTGCAGAGGGGCTACTTAAGGAGTTTTGGTGAGCTGTTGGGGGAGGGGGGTCTGACTCAGCCTGCAGTAGCTCATTAAAACTGTCCAAGTGACCCTCCAGCCAAAAGAGTTGCCTGCTAAGAGCCTGAGCATAACTCAGTTTGCCTGCTACATGAGAAATGGTAATGGAAAGAGAAAAACAGTTATATTGGCTTTACCATTAAATGCAGAAGGGTTCTGGCTCTGTCATGAACTCTTTCTGTGGCTTTGGTCAATTCATTGTTCTGCCTGTCTTAAGTGCGGGCCGTCTCCCGATCCCACCCTCATCGCCATGTGCGGACAGCGGGGAGCGATCGGGGCCCTTTTGTGCTATGCGCGAGCTGTGGCCAGCAGCCCAGGCACGCTGGATTGGAGAGAACAGGCGACACGCTGGAATTAGGCACGGATGCGTAATGGTTGATTTAAAGATTATTTTACTTACACCGAAGATGGTCACGGTGCAGGCAGGAAAACGTGCTGGAGTTGCGGTTACAGACAGGAAAGAAGAGAAGCGGACAAGAGTTCTAAACTCGCGAACTCTAGCCCAATCCGGCTGAAGGCTCTAAACACGCGAGCCCGTTGTGTCAACCGAAGAAAGTACTTGCACAGAAAAGCTCTGACTCACACGAAGTTTGCTAGGCTCCGTGGAACTTGTGCTCTGAGGTAGTTCGGTCGTCTGAACAACTATGTCAGTTGTTCCAGCTGGCAAGGAATAGACTCACACGAAGTTTGCTAGGCTCTGTGAGTCCTCTTTTTGCACGCAGGGAGGGATATGTCTAGGAATCTATCGGTGACGGGGAGAGGCTAGAGGCTGGTTTGACTCCCCGTTCCTGCGTTGCTTCACACAGCGTGAAGTCTCCTCCTCCTGGTATTCGTGGAGTCCTCCCTTGCCGGGTTCTCCAAGTTCTCCAACTTGGGCGGAAACCACTCAAGCCTTTTATATGGCTAGCAAGCCAATCGCTAGCCGCCACGTGTGAATAATTTAGAACTAGCCAATGGTGGGGCATAAATTTGAATACGAATGGCGGGAACTCTTTGCATCGTGCATTTCTGTGCTGCAAAGAAGAAATGCACACTGCAAAGAAAGCTACAAATTGGCGGGAAAATAATTCAGTGGTGCCAAAGCGCACACACAACAAAAATCACACCTTTGGGTTGTGACATTAAGTACCTATGCGGCACTCATTGCTGTAGTATCTGAGCTCCTGACAGTCTTTAATGTATTGACTTTCATAGCATGCTGATTAGTGCAATGATGGGGAACTGAGGCACACAGGGCTCATGCAGAAAATAGATGAAGGAACAGGGACTTGCATCCAAGTCTTCCAAGTTTAAGAATATTGCCTACCAACTCTACAATCCTTTCTCTTCAGCTTTTTACTCTTTCTTGTTCTACCTCAAGTTTCTGTAAAAATGAGATTAAATATAAAAAATACGAAATGTTATTGTTACTAAATAACTAAATTAAAATCTAAGCAGATTATTTTAAGTGAAACAATAAAGCGACAAATATTTCTTCTAATATTATGTGTTGTGAGATTATGAACTGTTGTTCATTGCTATAGTATCTTGGCACATGCCATATAAAATGACCTGGGAATCTCATTGATGCCAATAGATTTCAAAGAGTCCTTTTTTCTTAGTATTTATTTAAACTTGTTTCCACAAAAATCTATTTGACAGATTTTTTTTTAAAATGTCATTCATACAAACCATTTCTACTTGATGGCCCTTCTATCTGTCTTTTTAGGATGTATCTTTCTGGTGTAAGCTGTGAATATGTTGAAGTTCAAATACGGTGTTCGTAGTCCCATGGAGATGGGCCCCATGGAGCCTGTAGCCAGCCGTGCTTCACGGCTGAACCTGCTCTTTCAGGTAAAGGGAATCTGGCATCAGACTTGATGAGTGCACTTTGTTTGATCTGTGTGCAATGTACCAAAACATATCTTCTTTTGTTTAGCTTCTAGCAAGTTGCCCATGCCAAAGGGCTGTGCCTAATTTGCATAAAATTTACATGATTGCAGCGAACTTTCTTTTTTAATATAAAGCTGTTACTACAGCTCTCAGATTTAGAACAGAGCATCTCATGCTGAGTGACTTTAAAGATAGAACATAATGTCCTGGGACATGTATTCTTTACAGTCTTCTCATGTTCATGTAACATGAGAATGGTTAGGAGCTGTATTAAGCAGCCAGCTACCCTCTAAGTAGCTCTCTTGACAATTCTTGTACTGGGTCGAGACAGCATTTTTTCCTGTGAAAATATTTGGGTTGCTTTGCCAGCTGTGAAGCAAATGCCAAAATCTGTGGTCCAATGGCAAAGAGGGCATCTCAAATCAGAAGCATTTGAACAAGTGCTCAAATGCTGAGATCTGAGCTTTTAGTAGTTTCTGACACTTGGTTTCATGAAAAAAGTAAAATGTTTGTAACAGTGATTAGTGGTTCACACAATGATATGATCTATTTCAAACAAACCTCAAATATTATTGGTTTAATTTCTGAAGTAGTGATTTTTTTTATGGATAGTATATAATCTGTTCTATACATATGTTATTGATTTGAGGCTTTTCATTATTGTCTGAGACCCCATCTGCTGTTGCTTTTTTTTCCAGGGGAAGCCACTCTTTGTGACTCAACAGCAGATGTCTCCTCTCTCTCGGGAAGGCATCCTTGATTCCTTACTCGTTCTTTTTGAAGAATGCAGCAATCCTTCTTTAATGAAAATTAAATATGTAGGCAATTTTGTAAAGAAATGTAAGTTTTCTTTGACTAATGCTAGGGCTAATTCAAATATACAGTGGTTAAAAGTCAGAGTATTTAAATGTTTTGTGGCGTTAAGTTGGTTAATATTATCTTAGGAATTTTTGTGCGTGTATCCTTACGTTATCATGTGTGGAAGCCCACTGACTCTAGTGGAGGTTTATGCAGATGCAAAAATGTACCTGCAGAGTCAACTGAAGCATTGTGGTTTTAAAGTGCATTCTTTCTACTGCATGCCATACTTAGTTGAAGAAGACATTTCCATTCTATATAGAATGTGTGTGTACACACACAGTATACTAGCATAGTTCATGGCATAAACAACAGAAGTATGTCAAGGAAATCTGGATAGCACGAGACAGATGAAAAGCTTGGAAGGACTGACTTCTAAGAATCATGCTAAATATGCAGTTATTTTAGGTTTGTATAATATTTTAGTCTCCATATATTTTCAGTTTTTGTGTCTGTATTCAATAAGCAGTAGTTTTTCACTTTAAGAAATAATATCAGTTTGGATAAAACTGTTTGGCTCAATATGTTCAGATTCCAAAAAAGAACTGCTGCACTTTCAACTTAAATTTTTCCTTAGCTCTGCTTGCACAATGTTTAGTTGAGCAGACCCTGTAAAACCACCTGTAGAAGTTATTATTAGGTCTAATTTTACCAGTCTTTCAGAAGTGTTAAAAAATGGAGAGAGAAGAATTGTTTAGTACGGTCCATACTAAGATGACAAGGAATAAATGGGATGAAACTGAACAAAGGAATACTTAAGCTGAAAAAGAAAATTCCTGATAGTTACTTTTATTAAACTATAGCATAGTGTCTCCAAAAGAAGTGATGAAAGCCCTGCCATTTGACTTCTAAAACTGTACTGGACAAAGTACTTCTAATTAGACTAATCTTGCATTGGTAAAGATGGGGAAAAATTGTCTAGTCTCTTTCTAATTTTTATGATGCAGTGAAGGGGGGGATGAGTTATGGTTGCTATGGGAACTATCTTTGAATTTCCTAACTCTTTTGTGTGTATTAATTCCCAGCCATAACTTTGCATTAATATTGGTTTTTATCTAATAACTATATTTGATGAAAGTAAGGAAGTGATTAATAGTTATTGAGAGTCTGGAACTAAAGGAATAATTTTCTCTTGCTAAGGCTGTATTCGTTATATAATGTCACTTCATTAACGTAAAATAACTGTTCATGTTGTATAGATACTGAGACAATAGCTGAACTGAGGGAATTGCAACCCAGTGCAAAGGATTTTGAAGTCAAGAGTCTGGTGGGATGTGGTCACTTTGCAGAAGTACAAGTAGTGAGAGAGAGAGCGACTGGTGATGTCTATGCCATGAAAGTGATGAGCAAGCAGTCCTTGTTGCTACAAGAAAATGTATGTATATTTAACTACTGTCTACTTTGAATTGTCACTGCAACTACAAAATATAATATAGTGGATGTTTTCTTTTTCTTTCCCATTAAACTGATAAGAAAACAGATGGAGAGTCTAACTTGTGGGAAAGTGATGTAATAAATTTCAATGATTATTTTATTTGTATTGCCTAGGAGCAATAGGACCTATCTTTGCTAAATGCTGTATAAAAGTGGAAAAAAAAACCCAGTCCCCATCCCAAGGAGTTTACAGCTAGAGACAGCTGACGGATACAGAGAGATGAAGTATAAGGAAATAAGACAGTATTGGCTAGATCAGTGTTTCTCAACCTGTGGGTTGCAAGAATATATGAAAGGGTTGCAAACAATCACTGAAAAACATGGAAAATCACAGATTTTTAAACAGAGAAAACCAGGATCCCTGGCAATAAGTGTTTTTGGGCCAAAATACTTGTGTGTTTTCTACTTAGACTATTTACTGGGTCAGGACTGGCCATCAATGTTTACAAATGGGTTCTGGTACAAAAAATGTTGAGAAGCACTGGGCTAGATTAATAGGCAGTGGTCTGAGCACACCAGTAGCTTAACCGTTGTCAAGTTTTTTCTAGATATCAGGGCAAAAGAGAGTTTTAAGAAGGCATATGAAGGAGAAACTGTAAAATGGTTTGGTGAGTTTTTATGGAGAGCTGCTCCAAATCATATGAGAGAGAATCTGGAAGCTGGTGTCATGGGCTGATCCAAGGTGGAGCTTGACCTCTCATTATTGACTGAGAAATGATAAGGAAGGTGGAGAATAAACCTTGAAGGCCCTTGGAGGTGAAAATAGACATTACACCGTTAGGATCTAGATCAGTGCTTCTTAGCCAGACTATTGCAGCAACTTGGGTGCTATGAGATCCTTTTAAGAGTTGTGCAGAGTACTGTGCAGTATTAGCAGTGTTAGGGGTGCAAACACCTACACCATTTAACTACATAATTCACAATGTAAACCCAGAAATTTAAAATAGGAATCCATAGGGTTAAACCAGTTGTGGTCTTTGTCAGTTCTTTGCAACAGAAGAATTGCTCTGTTATTTTCCATAATAAAGAAAGAGTGAAATACATTTTTCAAATGGGGTGCTGTTGAAGTCAGAAAAGTTATGAAGGGGTGCCTTTACTATAATAAAATTGAGAACCCCTGATCTAGATGAAATAACAGTATTTCTATCATTAGCTCCATTTTGTGATATTTGGAATGTTTTGGATTAGCTAGATTGCATGTTTGCAGTTCTGTTTGATTTAACTTAGTTTAAGGTAAAGCTGTAGTTTATAGTGACTTTATTGCCACACTAGATCTCTGGAATTCTGTGCCTTAATTGTACTAGTATGGATTTGGGTTCTTTTCTGATTTTTTTACGAAGGTGGATAAAAATCAATAATTTAAAAAAAAAATCAGATTTTTAAAATTGAAATCAGATTTGTTTGATTTAATTGTATTTTTTATTTTTGTTATTAAGTTGCTTTAAAAATAAACTTACATATAGTTTTAATTTAAGATATGTTCAAGCTCAAAGATATCATCATGGAATAGGGATTATAATTTCCAATTATATATTATTTGAGACAGTATATTCATGTAACCTTTTTAGATGTTTTTTAAATAGATCACAATAGGTCATGGTCTATATTAGGGGCCCAATCTTATAGGGTTCCCAGAGGCTCCTCTCTAGATTACTAAAGATTAAAGAAAACCACTCTACCCAATGGGACTTAGTGCTCAGTCTAGAACAGGGGCAGGCAATTATTTTTGGCTGGAGGTCCGCTTACCAATTTTGGTAAGCTGTCAAGGGCCGCGTGGGTAGCCTCTCCCTTTAATAGGTGCCCCATCCCCGGTAGCCATCTTGTGACTGGAAGTCCTGCCCCCTAACCCCCAACCTTTGCTGCCAGAAGTTCCTCCACTTGCCCTGGAAGTACTCCTTTCAGCAAGGGGTTTTGCCATCTCAGAACCAGAAAAATAACAAATTATAATTATATTCTAAAAATTAAACATCTACAACATTCATTAATTTGATTGAAAAAAAATGTCCTGATTTACATGTGTTTGTGAAGTGTACATAGAGGTGATTTCACAATAGCTGAAAATGAAGTCTTATTCTTGTATATTGTACAGGGGGTGGGGGCATGGAGGTTGGGTATAGGTTTGTGGGTGTGTGTGGAGGGGCAGCTTAGAGGGGTGGATAGGTATGTGACTGTGGGATGAGGGAGCATGTGGGTGTATGGGTGGGTATGGGGTTTGTGGGGGAAGGGTGGCTGGGTTGTGTGAGGGGATGTCGGGGATTGTGTGTATGGCAGTGCGAGATGGGGTGTGAGTGCCAGTGTATGGTGGGGTGTGCATGAGGGACTCACCCTATGAGAACACACACACACACACACACACACACACACACACACACACACACACACACACACTGGCCCTCCCTCATTGCTCGCTCTCTCTCCCTTCCTCATTGCACAGGTGTGCACGGCCCCCGCTCCCCTCTCACCCCGCTCCTGGCCTCAGGCTATGGGTGTGGGCCCCCTGCTCCCGCAGTCCAGCAGGGCATCAGGAGTGTGGGGCTGGTTGGCAGGGGCTCTGTGGAGCCAGGCTGGCTCCCCTGTCTCCCTGCTGGTGCAGCCTGGCCCGGCTCCATAGACCTCTGCTGGCCCGGACCCCGTACTTCTACAGCCTCACTCTGGGCCCCATTGGCCCTGGTCCTGGCGCGGGCCCCAAGCTCCAGCCCAGCTGTCGCTGTGTGCCTGCTGCTGCTTTCCTCCCTGCTGCCATGGCACTCCAGCACCACATGGTTCCTGGCTGCATGGCTGCAACTGTAGGACTTAGCAGGAGCCGGCCTGACCCCAAGGACTGGGATGATTGCCTGTGGTACTCCCCTGCCTTCCTTCTCTCCAGCTTGCCTCCTTCTTATTGAATTCTCCTCTCCAGTGCAGGAAGGTAGGGGCAGCCCCAGGATCCCAGGCCAGAAGCCTCTGCTAGGCATGGGCTTCTGGCTAGGGCTGGGAGTGGGCAGGGAGGGGGACGAGGGGTGGGGTTGAGCCTGCAGGCCTTGCTGCTGAGCTGCTGGGTCCTGCTGCCAGATTCCCCTCAGTCCTACTGCCCCTGGCTCCTGCCATCTTTGACCAGCAGCCAGGAGCAGATAAATATTAATTTTCTAAATTTTTTAGGGGCCCCGTGGGCTGGATAGGATGGCCCGGTGGGCCGGATCTGGCCTGCGGGCCATATTTTGCCTGCCCCTGGTCTAGAAGATCCCATTTAGTGTCTCTGTGATGCTTTGTTTCAGTTCTCAAACTGTGGATTTGTGTCTCCAGAGATCATAGGCAGACAAAGTTCTTTGGGTAGATGTGATATCTTTTATCAGACCAACTAAATACTTGGAAAAATTGTTCTTTGCAAGCTTTTGGGTGCACCACGCACCGGGTGCAAGCTTTCGGGTGCACCAGTGCAAAGTTTCAAGAAGTTAAATGAATAAAGGATGTTAAACAAGAATGCACTTTTTTGTAGAAACCAATGATTAAATTGAGGCTTCCTGATCAGTGATTTAAATCGTGACATAAATCAATTTAAATCAAATCCACCCTGGTTTTTTTACTGCTATTTATTACTTCTGTTATGGCCATGCCCAATAGCTAATGTTGTCAAACAGTAGATGTTCCACAAACACACAATGAGAGTTGTCTTAAGTTGAAAACTCTCCAAGCCAAACAAATATGGTAAGAAAGGGTGGGAGAGAAAATGGCTTTCCCACAATTACACAGGAGGTCAGTGGAAGTTGGTCATTCGTATAGTCATTTTTGAACGTGAGGGATGTGCCTTTGGTATGCTTTTGGAGCTAGAGAAACCTAAATCTTTTTGGCATTATTTAAAATGTACTGCTTCTTTTGTAGGTGTCATTTTTTGAAGAGGAACGGAGTATATTATCTCGGAACATCAGTCCCTGGATTCCACAGTTACAATATGCGTTTCAGGACAAGAACCACCTCTACTTAGTAAGGCTAATTTTCTTTTTTGTGCTTTTTAAAATTTGAACTTATATATATGTTTGTTTATTTTTTTAAAAAACACAGTAGCTTAAATTAGTACAATTCCTTCTGTAAATTTTCCTGCATTATGAGACACTATTTGATAGCTGCCCTAAGTAGTATTTAAGGTTTTAATACGGAGCGTCTTGTATGTGAACTAGGCCTGTGTATCTAAAATTTCATGCAGGTTATGGAATATTTGCCTGGAGGGGACTTGCTGTCACTCTTAAACAGATATGAGGACCAATTAGATGAAAGTACGGTACAATTTTATCTAGCAGAGCTCATTTTGGCTATTCACAGTGTCCATCAGATGGGTTATGTACACAGGTGAGTAGACATCTCTTTGCATTATATTTATGATATTACCAGTATCATTTTGAAATTAGTGCACTGTAATGGTAAACATTAATTCCTGTATTCCGTTTATTGTAGAGGCAGTCTTTAATATAACATACTAGCTAATTGCCCATCAAGAATGACGTATTTCAGGGAGTGTTTACATGTCCCCTCTCTCCCCCCTGCTCCCCTTTCAGGGCTGGCCATATAAAGACTCCCTCTGCCACCTCCCCCTCCAGCCTCTGGAGCGGGTGCTCTCTCCCCTGCTTTCCTCCTCCCTGCAGTGGGGCTTCCTCCTGCCTCCCCTCCCTGCTCCCCTCCCTCCCTGCCACCTCCCCCTCCCTGCTGGGTGTTGTCAGGACCGGGTGGCGGGGGTGGGGTGGGGAGCCACCACTGTGACACCCCCCCACCCCCTTCTTTCCTTTCCTGCTGCCTGGCCCTGACACCAGCCACCACCATGCCTGCCCAGGCTTGTGCAGCCTCCCACCCTGCCAGCTGTTGTTGGGACCCACTTCCTGATCCCTGCCCTCACTCCCCGGTGCCTGGCCCGACAACAGCCGCCACCATGACCTTCCCTTCACCTCCCCCTGCCCTGCTCCCCTCTCTCCCTCCCTCCCCGTCCGCTGCCTCCCTCTCCCTGCCAGCTGTTCTGGGGGGCATCGGGGATAGACAGCACAGCAGTGTCACCACCATGAGCCCTCCTTCGCCCTCAGGCAAGGAGGTGTGCGGAAGCCCTGCTGCTCAGGCAGCCAGGGTGTGTTCGCCACTGCCATAAACTTCCCTGGCAGTGGCTCAAACTTTGGCCTGCGCAGCTTGGGCCTGCACAGCCAATTGCCACCCGCCCTCTTGGCAGCGCATGTGCAGTTGGCCCAAAGTGTTATGGACAGGCAGACATACTAAGCCCTTTATTATATTAGAATTGGTGGGGGTTGGAGAGCAAAAAGCTAATACTGTCCCAATTGTAACTGTAGCTGAAGTTATTAACTTTTGGTGCAAGTTTTGAGCAGATACCATTGAAGTTCTGCTGGGTATACGTATTTGTGAGCCCTGTAGAATGCAATCCTGTGTGGTACTACAGGAAACTGCTGATTTTTTTCAGGACTTGATGCTTGGTCTTGGCACTGACTAGTAAAGGAAACTGGATGAACTGTCAAAGATCATTGAAATGGGATGAAATATGTTGCTGGGGGTGAGGGATGGGGGAGCCAGTCACATATGTTAAATTAGCTGGGAGCATTTATACATTACAAGAATTTTTAAGGAACCCATCCTAGGGCTCTTTTTACATAGTTCTGCAATTAATATTAACTGATACAAGGTTAATAAATTCAATTCATTCTAAGGCCACTCTTACTTGCTGTCATATCTAAAAACACTGTGCTTATGAAAAAAGGTGCAGAACATTTCTTGCTATTCATCCCAGTGGTTGAAGTCTATGGTCAGACAGTATGTTTTTATTCTACATGGATTTAGGGTAGTAGAACTCTGCTTCCTAATGCTGCATAAGTACTTGGGGTATGAATAGAATTTGAAAGACACAAAAAGTGTGTCCTAATGATTTGGGATGAGAGCCATGGATCACTGCATTGCAACTCTGCTTCAGCATGCTAATAGTGTAATGTCATTACATTGTAATGTACTCCAGCACACTTTTTCTCTTCCCACCCTTGTCAGCAACTACTAGCTCTCCTTGCGACTTAGGTGGGGAAACTCAGTAGCCATAATGCCTAAGGTCAATGTTAAGAGTAGAGAAAGAAATGGAAGTGAGGTTTCCACAGAATCTCCATGTAGGACGATGAAGAACAATGTGGAATTTAAAAGCACAGAAAGCGTGTTGCTGCAACAGGGAGATGTTTTCTTGAATGAACAGCCGGGAACAACTACTGACTGGGGTAGAAAAGTATTAATTACTTTCTGCTTGTTTACAGAGATATCAAACCTGAGAATGTTCTCATTGACCGGACAGGACACATTAAATTGGTGGACTTTGGGTCGGCTGCCAAAATGACAGTGAACAAAATGGTAATACAGTGGATTTAAACTTTGAATAGTGCAGGAAAAAATGAAAACTGATTTCATATCCACTCTTAGCTGTTGACACCTTTTTTTTCTTTCCCTTCTAATATGAAGTATTAATAATATTTTTCACTTAGAAATGACCTTATAAACATGAGCTTGATTACCTTCTGCAGATTTAGGTAGATAAGTAAATACACTAGCTTATGCAGATTTTTAGACTGTGGGAATCCTTTGCAGTTCAGAGCTGTTCATGGCATTATCATAGAATCATAGAAAGTTAGGGTTGGAAGGGACCTCAGGAGCCAGTCCAACCCCTTGCTCAAAGCAGGACCATCCTCAACTAGATCGTCCCAGCCAAAGCTTTGTCTAGCTGGGTCTTAAAAACCACCAAGGATGGAGATTCCACCACCTTTCTGGGTAACCTGTTCTAGTGTTTTACTACCCTCCTAACAGACAGAATCCTGACAGAATTTTGTCCTAATATCTAACCTAAACTTCCTTTGTTGCAACTTGAGACCATTACTCCTTGTTCTGTCATCTACCACCACTGAGAACAGTGTAGCTCCATCCTCTTTCGAACCCCCCTTGGTGATTAAGCCTGCTATTAAATCCCCTCTGTCTTCTCTTCTTCAGACTAAATAAGCACAGTTCCCTCAGTCTTTCCTCATAAGTCACGTGCCCCAGTCCCATCCTCATTTTTGTTACCCTCCACTGGGCTCTCCAATTTGTCCACATCCTTTCTGTAGTGGGGTCCCAAACCTGAGCACAGTACTCCAGATGTGGCCTCACCAGTGCTAAAGAAAGGGGAATAATCACTTCTCTTGACCTGCTGCCTGCACTCCTACCGATGCAGTCCAGTATGCCGTTAGCCTTCTTGGCAGCAAGGGCACACTGCTGGCTCATATTCAGCTTGTTGTCCATTGTAACCCCCAGGTTCTTTTCTGCAGAGCTGCTGCCCAGGTAGTCAGCCCCCAGCCTATTCTGGTGCATGGGATTCTTCTGTCCTAAGTGCAGGACTTTGCACTTGTCCTTGTTGAACCTCCTAAGATTTCTTTTGGCCTAATCCTCCAATTTCTCTAGGCCACTCTGAATCCTAGCCCTACCCTTCATATCTACTACTCCCTCCACTTTGGTGTCATCTGCAAACTTGCTGAGGGTGCACTCTGTGCCATCTTTCAGGTTGTTGATGAAGATGTTGAACAAAACCGGCCCCAGGACCAACCCCGGGGGCACTCCACTTGATACCAGCTGCCAACTAGACATTAGGCCATTGATTACTACTCTCTGAACCTGATGCTTCAGTCAGCTTTATATCCACCTTACAGTCCATTCGTCCAGCCTGTACGTCCTTAGTTTGCCTGCGAGAATGTTGTGGGAGACTGTATCAAAAGCCTTGCTAAAATCAAGGTATACCACATCTGCTGGTCTCCCCGCATCCACAGAGCGGGGAGGCATGACTTGTCCTTGGTAATCCATCCTGACTGTTCCTAATCACTTTCTTCTTCTCCAAATGCTTAGAGATGGATTCCTTGATGATCTGCTCCATGATTTTAACAGGGACTGAGGTGAGGCTGACTGGTCTGTAGTTCCCTGGATCTTTCTTCTTCCCTTTTTTAAATATGGGCACTATGTTTGCCCTTTTCCAATCATCCAGGACCTCTCCTGATCGCCATGAGTTTTCAAAGATGATGGCCAGTGGCTCTGCAGTCACATCAGTCAACTCCCTCAGCATCATCGAGTGTAGTCCCTAACCTGTTCTTTTGCCACCGTTGGCTTCTCACCTCCTCCCCAAACTGTGCTGCCCGGTGCAGTAGTCTGGGAGCTGACCTTGCTTGTGAAGATTGAGGCAAAGAAGGCATTGAGTACTTCAGCCTTTTCTGCATCCTCTGTCACAAGGTTGCCTCCCTCATTCAGTAAGGCAGAGGTTCCCAACCCCTGGGCTGGAAAGGGTTGGCTGCTGAGTCGTGGCATGCCAGGGCAGCTCCGGGAGGGAGGCAGCCAGCTCCGTGCCCCCTGTCCTGCTGCCATGGCTGTGCCTGGCGAGATGCTGCCTGTACAGCAGGTACTGGGTCTCCTGCTAGGCTGGGCAGGACCCTCAGCCCCACTTGCGGCTGGGAACAGGGGGATGCGGGCAGGGAAATGCCTGTAGCGGAGGGTAGGGAGGCGGCTCCGCTGCCTTCTAGGAAAGGCAGTGGAGCCCCTTCTTCCCAGGCAGCCCCAGCTGGGTCCCGCCAGACAACCATCTGTGCAGCCCCCTCCCTTGTGGAGTCCCCTGGTGCCTGTGGCTGAGGTGCCCCAACTTGATCCAGTCCTTGCAACCCCCCTCCCCCCACGTGAAAATTAACTTTAAATACAGGAAACCCTCGCTATTCGCAAATCCGCTATTTGCAGATTTGATTATTTGCGGTGTGCTGCGCTAACGGTGTGTTGGGGCAAGCGCCGCCGTGGCTCCCTCTGGTGCTGCACCGAGCTCCTGCCTCTGTGTAAGCAGGCATGGAGCACTGTGCAGGGTGGGGGAGGGCAGAGTCGGGCGGGAGTCTCCCCTGGAGGCAGCCACGGTCAGTCTCCAGGTGCTGAGGGGGAGCCATGCGCTTCCAGCTTTTTGCAGGGTTGGGGGGCGGGGAGGTGGTGCAGGGGGCGGCTGTGGGGTCTGATGGGGAGCCCTGTCAGTATTCACAGATTTCGCCATTCATGGGGATCTCCAGAACAAATTCCCCGCAAATGGCGAGGGTCTCCTGTATGTAAATTAGATACCCAGTCTGCCAAAATTCTTTGAGTGATTTTGCTGGTCCACAGTATAAAAAAGTTTGGGAACCACTGCAGTAGGGGGGACACACTTTCCCCGATTCTCCTCTTGTTACTGACATACTTGTAGAAACCCTTCTTGTTACCTTCACGTCCCTTGTTAGCTGCAACTCTAGTTGTGCTTTGGCCTTCCGGATTTCATTCCTGCATGCCCGAACAATGCTCTTATACTTCTCCCTATTTATTTGTCCAAGTTTCCACTTCTTATAAGCTTCCCTTTTGTGACTCAGTTTACTGAAGAGTTCCCTGCTAAGCCAAGCTGGTCATCTGCCATACTTGCTAGTCTTCCTGTGAGATGGTTTGTTCCTGCACTCTCAATAAGGCTTCTTTAAAGTACAGCCAGCTCTCCTGGACTACTGTCCCCCTCAGACTGGCTTCCCAAGGGATCCTGCCCATGATTTCCCTGAGCAAGTCAAAGTTTGCTTTTCTGAAGTCCAGGGTCCTTACTCTGCTGCTCTCCATCCTACCTTTCCGGTGAGCATTATGATGCACTGCAACTTGACATCGTACTCCAGAAGATTCACTGAGACTCAACATTACCAAAAATCAAACTTGGAATGATTTGTTTTCAGAAAGACCCCAATTCAGCGAGATATTTATGCAACTGTGTATTGGTAGTCCTATTAATAGTAACAGTAATTTTTGTGTGCTTAACTTAGGGAACATACTTAAAAAACCTTGTTGAATCATGGCCTAATGTGTATTGAGTGTGTGCATGAGCATGGCATATCAAAGTCTCTTGATAGGCTTGTTTTAAAATTAGTCATGTTCTGGTGGAAGACATTGAACACATTGCTTTCCAGTGAATAAAATCTTTTTTAGGATTATTTCCTTTTAAAGGCTGTTTCTAAATTTAGGATATTTCATCCATTTTAGGAAGTGATAGTTTGAAATTAAAATATATATACAACCTTGAAAATAGAACATACATTTATACATTTGAATCTACTTTTGTTCTCCCTTTTCATATTGTATATCATTTCTTCTCTTTGTTGTGGTCTTTGCTTACATTTTATATCTTCCCCATATTTTCTTTCTGGATAATGCTGTATTTCTTGCCTGACTTTCACAATAAACTTACAGAGATACCCATTTCTCCTTTTTCTTGTTGTGTGCTCCTTCTGCTTCCTGGTTACTATGTTGCTTTCCTCTTCACTTGTGCTTTACTTTTCTAGTAGTGATTTCTGAAGCACCTATTCAAAACACTTCAGACACCAGAATTTTAGTGAATGTTACTTTACTGGCAGTATATAAATACAGGGCAGAATGAGAAAGGGGACTGAGTGATAAAGTGGAGGGAATAGAAACTGCTGAAAAATGTTGACCCATAAATTTTAATGGTGTATGAGAATTTAGCTGTGACACTCCCATTAGTGTCAATTGAAGTTGCATTGCTGGAGCATTCTTGCCACTTAAAATATAAGCAGTTATTAACAGATGGTGCATCATGATCTTTAGAATGCAACATTTTAAATTTGTTGTTACTTCAGCCATATATAGCTAATAGGTAGAATTAGCTCTTTTAATTTGTGTTAACTCCTTCCATATAGCAATTAGCTTTGTTACAAGTTATTAATTTTTAGATTTTTAGGTTTCCTAATATAATAACCAAGGATCCTGATTTTCTCTGATTAAAGAAAACACTCCCCAATTTTCTGATTAAAAAAAGTAACCCAAAATCCACATTTTTCCATGATTAAAATGAAATGCCATGATTAAACTGATTTATTTATGGCATTTCATTTTAATCATGGAAAAATGTGGATTTTGGGTTACTTTTTTTAATCTGAAAATTGGGTTTTTTTTATTTACCAGAGAAAACCAGGTTCCCTGATAATAACTCTGTTGATTATCTTATTCTCTCGTTTCTGACACAGCCTCTACTTATAAATTTACTTAGAGAGTCAGGGAATGTCTGCCTAATGTCTGTCTGCCTTTATAAGCAAGATGAAAAATAATTTTGGTGTTGTAAACATGCTCACTAGAAAGGCTTGTAACTTTACCTTCTGTTTCTTTGTTTCCAGGTTAATGCCAAACTGCCTGTTGGTACCCCAGATTACATGGCACCAGAAGTGTTAACAGTGCTGAATGGGGATGGCAAGGCTTTGTATGGTCCTGAGTGTGACTGGTGGTCTTTGGGAGTCATTGCATATGAAATGATTTATGGGAAATCTCCATTCACTGAAGGCACTTCAGCCAAAACCTTCAATAATATCATGAACTTCCAGGTACAGTGAGGCCATTCCATATTTCAGTGTAAAGAAATGTAGAACTAAAAACCTATATATTTCTATGGAAGAGGGAGATGCAGGATGGATTTGTGCCACCATGTCATATTCTAGGAGTTTTGTGAGTGCCATATTTTGAAAATGATTTTCATGTTCTCCTGGAATGTAAATTATTTTTAGAAGTAGTATCTAAAATTGCTATCTATAGTGCATAAATTAAAAAAGATTTCTTTGCAGTATGCAGTAATATTGATTTTCTTTGTCAGATTTTGGTATTGGCACAAAGCGGAACATTTTTTTCGCACCTTGGACTTACATTCTTGGGCATATCTAAACATTATAAACCTTAAGAACCTATACATTTTTAGTTTTATTTTCCTACTGAGCAGAGGTATTTTTGTTTCAAATACAGAGATTTCTGAAGTTTCCAGAGGATGTAAAAGTCAGTAATGAATTTCTTGATCTGATCCAGAGTCTGCTCTGTGGGCAGAAAGAGAGACTAGGTTACGAGGGGCTCTGCTGCCATCCATTTTTCTCTAAAATTGACTGGAATAACATCCGCAATTGTAAGTAGAATAATATTACATAAAAAATAGGTCCTGAAATCTTAGTAACATAGGAACGTAAGTAAAATGAACAGTTGGTTTGCTTTTGAGCTGAATCCTTATTCACAAAAAAGTAGGGGTGTACGGATAAAGATTTTCTTGGCTGATACCAATAGCCAATTATTAACAAGCCATATTGGCCAATACCGATCCAATAGCTGATTTACAGGAATGCAGCCTAGCAGTTTGGAGAGCAGCATCCTGCCGGTAAGTCTGTTTGGGGGACGGGGCGTGGGAGGGGGGAGCAGATTAAGGCCCCCACGGTTAGGGAGGGAGTGTGGGGCAGGCACTGCCCAGCCAAGGCGGTGAATGGAACCCCAGGGCAGGGTGTGGGACAGAACTGTGGGCTGTTCATCCAGGGGGGAATGAGGGGTATCTCCCCATCACTGTGGTCACCCCTGGGCGAGGCATGGGGGGCATGTAGCCCCCCCAGATTTGTGCACAGGGTGGAGGCAGGCTGCAGGCTTGGGACCAGGGGCTGCACCAGTCTCTTCCTGTTGGGGGTGGGGTTGGGCTTGGGCCAGGGCTGGGAGCAGGACAGGCTCAGCTGCATGGGGTGAACTGTGGCAGCGGTAATGGAAGGGGTGGCTATGGAGGCGGGGGCTACAAAGAATTCTGTGGTGGCTATTGCCCTGCAAGCCCCTCCTAGCACTGCCCCTGCTCAGGGCACTCTGCTCTGCTGCCTTTCCCTTGGGAGCCCTGTGCAGGGCGCATGCCCCCTGCCTGACTTGCAGCATGGGGCTCCTGAGGTAGAGTCAGCAGAGTGGAGTACCCTGAGCAGGAGCGGTGCTAGAGGGGACTTGGGGGCTATAGCACCTGTCCTAGCGCCACTGCCCACCCCTTTTAACTGAGCCTGCCCATTCCCAATCGCAGCCCAGCCCCCTGACTGTGAAGAGGCTGCCACAGCTCCTGGCCCTGAGCCCATAGTGGGCAGCCTGCCTCTGCCCCGTATACAAATCCAGGGGGCACATGCCCCCTATGCCTCCCCCAGGGGTGTGCGCAGCTGTGGAGAGCTGCTTGCATCTCCATCCTGAGCCCTGCCCCAGAGTCCCATTCACTGCCCTGTCTGGGCAGCGCCTGCTCCTGCCCCACTCCATCCCTCACTGTAGGGGCCTCAATGTGCCCCTTAACCCCCCCAGAGACTTACTGGTTGGATGCTGCTCTCCAAGCTGCCGGGCTGCATTCCTGGCCGCGTGCACGCATGTAGCATTTATCGGTGACATTATTGGCTACATTGGCCAAAAAAAGCCAATAGGTGATGATATTAATTTTCCTTTCATTGGTGCCGATCTGATATGCGACTGATATCTCAGTCCACCTCTACAAAAAAGAAAAGCAGTATAGCTGTATGAGAACAGATGTGTTTTGCAGAACTATTATTTTTTTCTGTTTTGTGGCTAGGAGGCATTCATAAATTGTAAGTTACAGTTGTACAGGTGAGAATTTTAAAAAGCACAAGATAGAGTTTGATAATTTTATGAATGGGTTGACACGATATGATTGGTTACAATAACAGGGAACTGGACTTAGAAGATCCCTTCCAATTTTTGCCTTTATGTAAAAGTGTGGATGGCTGCAACTTTTTCCTACTCCAGTTAGTCTGTCTTCACTTTGGTTTGGCTTTGTGACTGGGAGATATTTTTTAGCT